CCCATAGTACACAGAACATGGAAGTGCAGTTATTTTAGTAAATATAAACTGTTAAATACCTTTTCTCATCAGCAGTTAGAGCAGTCTTGTTACTTCTATCAGTGTCCAGCAGAGAACTGGTTAAATCTTGTAAGAGGAGTGTTCTTTCTGCTCTAGGAGGATGCAAAACCCCTGACCTCTGTCTGGACAGTGCTGATTGGCCCTGTGCTGATCACATGCACTCTCCAAAGAAAAAAAAAAACTCTCGCAATACACACTAAACTGAGCATGTGCAGAATGGCTATGGTTCAGTCTGTCTTATCAGGAGAAAAGATGTGGACATTTGAACAAGAGGAGGTGCAGAGAAGTCAGGATCAGATGGCCTTTTTACACAATGTAGAGTATTAACCCCTTAGGTTCAACAGTGAGTATAACAAGCATGCTTTATTGCATAAATAGACTGATTTTACTGTTGTGGGTTTAGTAACAGTTTAATGTGCCTAGGAGGATGATTAGGAAATGGGTCATTATCATACAAATCTTTGAGGAGATTAAAGAATGTCTTGGTACTTGTGGCCCCTAGGAAGTTCTTTTGAGATATAATTGTACATTAAGAGTTGCCTTGCTGGGAGGATCAGACAGCATCTGTGATAAGGCATTGCCCAAACTATTCCTTGGTCTAGGATGATTCGAGATAATAAAATTGAACCTGGAAAATAATATTGACCAACATGCTTGTCTAGAAGACAATCTCTTGGCAGAGCAAATTAATTCCAAATTTGTATGATCAGTGAGAACAGTTGCAGGATGATTAACCCCATCCAGCAGATGCCTCCACTCTAAAAAAAAAAAAAAAAGGCTTTCTTAATTGCCAGGCACTCTCTTCATTCCCAATGTCCTAATTCCTTTTGGCTGAGGACATTAAATGAGAAAAGTAAGCACAAGGATGAAGCTCCATCTTTTGTCTGCTTTGCTGAGAAAGGATAGCTCCCACAACAGTCAGAAGCATCCACTTCCACTATAAAAGGTAATCCAGGATTGGGATGTACCAATACTGGTGCAAAAGTGAAAAAACGTTTTTAGCTTTTCAAAAGTAGCTTGTGCTTCAGGTGACTAAACAAAGGGAGCTCCTGTCTTTGTCAGCTGTGTAATTGGAGCTATCACTTTAGAGAAGTTTCTTATGGCAAACCTGACAAATCGTATTTCCATAACATTTCCATGGGCTGGCCAATCAACCACTGATTTGATCTTCTCGGGATCCAGCCTTACTCCTTCTATTGAAAAAATAAACCCCAAGAACTGGATCTGGGTTTGCTCAAACTCACATTTCTCCAGTTTGATGTAAAGCTGGTTCTTCCTTAATCTTTCAAAGACAGTGCAAATAATGCTTGTAGTGCTCCTTGTCTGCATTCGTCAAGGAGATGAATAGAAAACTGCCTTCAGAACCAGATATGGGCATTTTGAGCCCTTTGTTATGCCTTTTTGCAACACTCCTGCAACTTTTCAACAATTCATCAATCATGTCTTTCAGGATCTGTTAAACTGGTTTGTTATTGCTTATCTGGATGATATTCTCATCTTTTTCTGATAACCTCTCCAGGTAGAGATAGTAGAGAATTTGCAGCAATTGTTCTTTCAACTTTGTTAGGGCAATAACTACAGAATGACCAGAGTCTCCACAATACAGACATAAGTTCTCCGAACATCTTCTCTTTCTCTCTTCTGAATGGAGATGGATCTCTTGATAGCATCAATCTGCATAGGCTCGGGGGTGCTAGAACCCGGAGAGACTTTTGAATTCTGCTGAACAAATGGACTAGCAGAGAACGCATACCACCATTCTTCCAAACATTCTCCTTCCTCCTTTCTGTAAGTCTCTGATTAATTTGGATACATAATTGGATGAAGGCCTTGAGATCATTAGGAGGCTCTACTCTGGCAAGCTCATCCTTTATCTGTTCAGAAAGCCCAGATAAAGGAACTGGCTTTTTGTGCTGCAGGGTTCCAAGTGGTATCTATGATCCAACATTTGAATTCAGCTGTGTACTCAGCGACAAAGCATTTAACCTGCCGCAGACTATGCAACTTTGCTTCAGCAGTAGTGCAGCAATTTGGGATCATCAAAAACCTGATTCATTGCAGTCAAAAGAATCTCAAGCTTATTCAAAGTGGTACCATCTTGTTCTACATAAGGGGAGGCCCAATCTAAAGCTTCCCCAGTCGGAAGTCTGATAATAAACATTACCTTCTTTTTCTCTAAAGGAAATGCAGTAGGGTGCATTTGGAAATATATATGATACTGATTAAGGAAACCCCTGTAATTGTGGAAGTCTTCATTAAGCTTAGATGGTTGAGGCTGAAGCAAATGTGTGTTAGTATCATCTCAGTCCAACAGTTGTCTCTACAGAGTATTAATTTCTTACTGTTTCCTTTCCACTATACTTTCTAGTTTAGCAACTTTTTCTTGGTAGGTAACACCAAATTTCTGCAGCTCAACAATTTTCTGCCTAAGAGGAGCCAGAGTGATTGCTATAGTGGCCTCCATGTTTGTGGCCAGAATATTCTATCACAGTCAGGGTAGGTCAGGCTCGAAGACCAGCTGCTATAGCAGTAGAAATGCTCACAGAAAAATCAGCAGGATAGGTACAGGTAGATCACCCTGGTGGATGATGCAGACTCACCTCAGGTGCAGAGTCTAAGTACTAACTGGTGTTCACCAGAGCTCCTGATGGTGGAGATGGGTTTTGTGCTGCGTGTTAGCAGCAGGTCAGGATCCGTGGGATTGCCCCACTAGGAGGTGATCAAGCTGGGAACCAGTAGCAGTTTGAGCAGGTAAGGATCAAATAGAAGCATAGTCAATAAAAAAGCCAAAGGTCAGTAACGAGCAGTAGCAAAATATGGATGGCTATAGGGAAGACAAAAACAAGATACTGGCTGAAAAGAGTACAATAATCTAGCAAGTAGGAAGTACAGAGACATGGCTTAAATCAGGAAGTTCAAGGGAGAAGGAAATAGCTCAATGTTTGTGACAAGCAAGTTCATGGCAGGATGATTCAAGTAATTGTCCAGGGAGCTCTCCAGAATTCCAGGTAGTTCAGCAAGAAGAGACATTGCCACACACAGCAGAGGTCTCAGGTTCGGACCCAGTCTCTGACAGACTTATTTATCTTGCTTGGAGGTTTATTGTGCCTGCTGAGGTTTTATTGTTGCTGTTCAGGAATGTATTGTTGTTGCTGGGGAATATATTCTTTTATAGGGGGTGGTGTTGAGAGATGGGTAGGGGGGGTGGAAACCAAAATGACAAAGGAGTGGGGAGAAATACCTGCTCCTAATCTCAAAGAACTACATACATTCATGTGAAAACCTGTATATTTTTTGCTGACACAGTGTGAAGGTCAGTTAAACACCACAAAACACTGCCAAACCTTAGCATCTGTTGGTCTTACTTTTTCTCTCCTAATTTTTGTTCACAAAGGGGTTTGTACTTTTTTACATCTTTAACAGAAAACATGTAAAGAGGTTTTGTTACAGGAATATTTGAGCCTACTTTCATCATCATATAAATAAAAAAAAATTCTGTTCTGACTGGTAGAAACATGTTTCCAATTACGGGAAAGGTTGCTCTCCCTTTTGCTAAGGTGTAAAGTTGGCTTTGGTATTGAACTTCCAAGCCACCAAACTGAACCACCAATCCAGCTTTTCACTAATTTACACACATAAACCCTAAAAAAAGGGGTGCCCTGTAGCCCCAAAATGCATTGAATTTTTTTTTGCCCAATTGTTTACCAATAAGCACAAGGATATTTTTTAATGACTACAAGTCATTAACGTCAAAATTTATATTTATAGTGCTCCTCACCCTTTAGCCCCAAAATGCATTAAAATTTATTTTGCACATTTGTTTACTAATGAACACAAGAATATTTTTTAATGACTTGTGATTAAAGTCATTAAAGCCAAAATTTTTATTTATTTACAGTGCAAAAGTATTGGGACACTCCTCCAAATCATTTGATTCAGGTGTTCCAATCACTTCCATGGCTACAGAATCCAGAATTCCACCCCTCCAAATCCAGTCTTACCTGCTTCTGTTCTGTCTGCTTCTGTCTGGTGTTTGGTGCTGCTCTTTAATTTCTCCTTCTTTACTCCCCATTGCACGCCTCTTAATTTGCATTGAAATGTCATAATTTTCATTTCAGCAAGCACACTTCCTGGGGTGTCAGCCACTGCTGCTGTGCCTGTGTGGTGCACTTAACTTTCATTGAGCCAGTTTCATATGGATATGAATAAACCGTGCCTGCAGAGCCCATCTCATGTACACACTGAATTTTTGTATTCAAGAACTACAGCTCACTACGTGTGTGTGAATGAAGTGTTGTTTCTCAATGCAATAAGGAACACAGCAAGTCAGTTTTACTCACTAAGTGATAATATTTATTGTTTAATTCACTTATGTAGAAGCAGTATGGAAGGGGAGATCACACTAGTGCCTTATGCTGTGTGCAGTATATTCTGGACTGCAAACAAATGTAACACACAGCATCTGGTTTAATTTTCAAAATTCAGTGCCATGCTTCCTAAATATATTATCCACCAATCCGTGCTCCTAAAAGAACCTTCACCTTCTGTGCAACCACCACCGGATGTGCTCTCACCTGAAGCCCATAACCTTAGTGGATTAATTGATGTTAACAGGTACTCTTCACCAGTGCTGGGTTCCCACTCTAGGCTTCTGATCTTGCCCCACTTTCTCCTTCCTTTTCCAGCTAAATGGCACTCCTCCTTCTCTCTCCTCTGCTCAGCACCACATAGGAAAAAAGGTCTTGGGCCCCAGATGAGAGTACATCTGGTGGTGGTTGCAGAGAAGGTGGATGTCAGGAATGGACTGGCCAGCAATGGTGGGACTCACCTGCCTTTTGATCTGCAGTACCAGGGCTGGCCAGCGGGTGCTCCCAGCAATCAGAGACTCAACCTTTCAGCCAGCTAACACCTGGAACTGATGATACTGGTGTATTTAAGGGATGGCCAGACTTGCAGACTCTGCCTTGGTGTTGTGTTTGTCCTGGGCCCTGTATCTGTCCTGCATCCTGTTTCTGTTCCTTTGCTGACCCTGCCTGATCTGAACCGCTGCTGACTTCTCCTGCTCTGATCCCGGCTCGCTCCTGACCATCCCTCTGCCTGACCCTCTGTACCACGCTGCTTGCTACCTGTTCTGATCCCTGGCTTGTGACCCTGACCATCCCCTCTGCCTGACCCTCTGTACTACGCTGCTAGCTACCTGCTGAACCTGGCCTGTGACCCCGACCCATCTCTGCTTGCTCCCCCTGTACCTACCTGCCCTATTGATATTGACCCGGCCTGCCTGACGACGCTTGCTTGTATGTACTGTTATCTGTGGGTGGTTGGTTTGGTTTGTTTGCACTGTATTATGTTTTAGTATTGCACTGCGTTTATGTTTGTATGGTTAGTGTTAATAAATTATATTGTTTTATCACATATCTGAAGTCTGCGTTTCCCTGCGTCAGTCACACACCTCTGGTCACACCTGGGAGCCCTGACATTACACCAAGACCAATCCTGACCAGAAGTGGCTGCACAGGGAAGCCATCTTGGCTTGTTGCTGGGAAGGATGGATCTGGATGAGGTTGAGTATTTATCTCTGCTAGTGCTTGATGACAGAAAATATGCTTATCAGACTCTGAAGGAGTATACCCGGGATGAACTGCTAGAATGTATACGGATCGCTCATGTTCTAGTAGATCAGGGCACAGATTTCTCTATGGTGCAGCCATTGATTAAGGTTTGTGTTGAGTTGGTTTCATCTGGTTTCCCCGAATGCAAGGATGAATTTTTGCCACCATTTAGTGCAGACCAGGTAGAGTCCCTGGTGTGGTTATTAGAGGATGATGTGGGTTACTTTAAGGAACGTTATTCCACATGTTCACCACAGATACTAAGAGATTGTATAAACGCAGTGCAGTCTTTGGTCAGACAGGCTTTGTGTAAGCTCAGCTTTGTTCAACCCATACTGCAGACATGGACAGACTTGTTGCACCCAGCCTCAGTCAGCTTACAAAGACCCAGTCCTGCTTCTAATCTATTTTCCTCAAAGCTCTACTCCTGTATTCCCAACAACTCCCCCAGTTACAGCCCAGTATACTTGGCTATCTACCGCATGTCAGTACCCTGTTCCCACTCGCTGCACCTAACCTGCCTTTAACCTGTAAAAAAGCCCTCTGTAGCAACTGCTCCCTCTCCTGTTCCATCCTCCAGTTCTTCTCTGTCTCCAGCTGCTCCATTCGTTTGCAGACCTGCGTTTACTTGCAGTGCCCCAGTAGTTAAAACCAGAAAAAAGCAAAAATTCTTTCCAACCAAATATCCTGCCAGTATCCAAACCGGTGAACCTGCCTTCCGTGGTTCAGCCTGAATCCTCTACCAGCCTGAAGCCTCTACTCAGCCTGATGCCTGTACGCAGCCTGAAGCCTGTACGCAGCCTGATGCCTCTCTTCTGCCTGAAGCCTCTACTCGGCCTGAAGCCTCTACTCGGCCTGATGCCTCCTTACTACCCCTTTCGGCCTGATGCCTCTACTCGGCCTGGAGCCTCTACATCGGCCTGAAGCCTCTACTCAGCCTGAGCCTCTACTCAGCCTGGATGCCTCTACTACGGCCTGATGCCTCTACTCAGCCTGAAGCCTCTACTCAGCCTGAATGCCTCTTACTCAGCCTGAAGCCTCTACTCAGCCGGACTCCGGCATTCAGCCTGATGCCTCTACCAGCATGATGAAGCTGATCCACTGACGGATCCTATAAGGCCTGACTCTGCCCGCAGTTGATCCAGATGATCCGGTACCTGACCAGCCTGCTATCGTGCCAATTGACTCAGAGCCCCAGTCGTACATGATGACCCGATCCAGCTGTCGAGCCAGACTATTAATGCCTGGTGACACGGTGCCACTGTCGTGCCTGTTGACTCGGAGCCCATCCTGCCATTGCCTGATGACCCGGTGCCCGCTATTCGAGCCAAATGACTCTGGTGACCCGTGCCCGCTGTCGTACCTGGTGACCCGATGCCCGCTGTCGAGCCCAGACAATCCAATGCCTGATGACCACCGGTGCCCACTGTCGTGCCTGTTGACTCGGAGCCCACTGCCTTGCCAGATGACGCGGTGCCTCGCTGTCGAGCCAAATGACTTGATGCCTGGTGACCCGATGCCCGCTGGTCCAGTCAGACGATCCAATGTCTGACCACTAGTGCCCCGCGGTCAACATACCAGTTGACTCGGAAGCCCACTGCCTTGCCAGATGACGCGGTAGCCCGCAGTTCCGGAGCCAAATGACCTGATGCCTGGTGACCCGATCCCCCGCTGTCCAGCCAGACGATCCAAAATGTTCTGACCGCAGTGCCAGCGGTCATGCCAGATCGACTCGGCGCCTGTCGTGCCAGGGTGACTCGGTGTTGTCCCGCTCCGCTTCGCTGGGGGTGAGGACTGTTGCTCCGCCTGGGGGTCTGGGCCCGCCGCTCCGCTGGGGAGTGCGGTGCCCGCCAGCCCCCGCCCTGGGGGGCCCGAGACCAGTCGCTCCGCCTGATGGGGCGACTCTGTCGCTCCGCCTGGTGGTCTGGCGCCCGCCGCTCCGCATGAGGGCCGAGACTGATCGTCCACCTGGGGGTGCGGTGAGCCCCGCAGCTACCGCAGATGGGGCCCGAGCTGTTGCTCCACCTGGGGGTCCGGCGCCCGACGCGCCCTGAGGGCCCGAGACCTGTCGCTCCGCCAGGGGGTCCTGTCGCCCCGCCGCTCCGGCGCTGAGGGCCCGAGACCATGTCCGCTTCCACCTTGCCCGGGGGTCCCGAGAGCCCAACGCTCTCCGCCTGAGGGCCCGGAGACCCTGTTGCTCCACCTGGGGGTCGGCGCCGCCGCTCCAGCTACCTGGGGGGCCGATGCCAAGGTCGCCGCGCTGGAGCCGATGCCTGTCGCCCGCCTGGGGCACGATGCTGTCGCTCCCGCCTGGGGGCCCGATGCCTGTCGACCGCCGGGGGGCCGATGCCTTGTCACCCCGCCTGGAGTGCCCGAGAACCTGTCGCTCCACCTGGGGGTCCGGTGCCTGTCGCCGCCTTGGGGGCCGGTGCCTGTTCGCCGCCTGAGGGCCCAAAGAAAAAGAGACCATGATCGCCTCCGCACCTGGGGTCCGGTGCCTGTCGCCCCGCCCGGGGGCCGGAGCTGTCGCCCGCCCTGGGGGCCCGGTGCGCTGCTCCTGCTAGGTCGCCCCGCTGCCTGGCTGCGTCGCCTGATCCTCCGATGTGCTCTGCCCGGGTCCTGCCCGGATGTTGGCTCCCCGGGTCTGCCCGTTGTGGCCTCTGCCCGGAGTCCAGCTCGAAGTGCCTCTGCCCGGAGTCCAGCTCGATGTGCCTCTGCCTGGATGTCCAGCCCGATGTGCTCTTGCCGGAGTCCAGCTGGATGTGCCTCTGCCCGGAGTCCAGCCCGATTGTCACCCTCTGCCGGAGACCCGCCCGATGTGCTTGCCCGGAGTTTAGCCCGATGTGCCTTGTCCCGGTATGTGCTCTGCCCCGATGTTGCCTCTGCTGGAGTCCAGCCCGATGTGCCTCTGACCGGAGTCCCCGCCGATGTGCTCTGCCGGGAGTCCCCAGCCCACGATGTGCCTGTGCCCCGAGTCCAGCCAGGTGTGACGTGCCCGGAGTCCTGCCCGCGGTGTGCCAGTCTTTGATATCCCGCAGTTACCAGACAGGGCGGTGTGGAACATTTTGCCCAGGTAGGCCTGTTAGGAGCGTCCTTAGGCGCTTATTTTCCCCTTGAGGGGGGGGGTACGGGTACTGTCAGGAATGGGACTGGCCAGCCAATAGTGGGGGACTCACCTGCCTTTTGATCTGCAGTACCAGGGCTGGCCAGCTGGGTGGCTCCAGCACTCAGAGACTCAACCTTTCAGCCAGCTAAAACACTGGAACTCTGATGATATGGGTGTTTTAAGGGATGGCCAGACTTGCAGACTTGCCTTGGGTGTTTGTGTGCGGCCCTGTATCTGTCCGGCATCCTGTTTCTGTTCCTTTGCTGGACCCTGGCCTGATTGAACGCTGCTGACTTCTCCTGCTTGATCCCGGCCCTCGCTCTGGAACATCCTCTGCCTTGACCTCTGTACCCGCTTGCTTGCAACCTGTTCTGATCCTGGGTTGTGACCTGACCTATCCCTCTGCTGACCCGATGTACTACGCAGCTAGCTACCTGTGAACCTGGCCAGTCTGACCCCGACCAATCTCTGCTTTGCTCCCTGTACCTCCCTGCCCTAATGATATTGACCCGGCCTGCCTGGCGACGCTTGCTTGAATGTACTGTTATCTGTGGGTGGTTGGTTTTGGTTGTTTGCACTGTATTTGTTTTAGGTATGCACTGCGTTTATGTTTGTAAGGTTAGTTAATAAATTATATTGTTTATCAATATCTGAAGTCTGCGTTTCCCTGCGTCAGTCAAACCCTCTGAGTCACACCGGGGGAGCCCGACAGTGGAGGTACTTTTAGGATCTATAGATTAGTGGCCTCATTGTCACATCAAGGTTCAAGATAAAATAGACTTGTTACAGGGACCACTTCATTGTTTTAGTACATTGTTTTTTTTGTATAATTTTAGTGAGGGTAATTAGCATATGGAGCATGTGATTGATTGCATATTTGGGAAGCACACTGAATTTTGAAAATTAGGTCATTTACACATTTAGATGAGAGTGTGGAGGGTGCACGCTGCTGTGTTTTTGTTTTGTATCTTTTATTTATTACAAAGCAGATTTAGGGACTGTACCACAGCAGCTCACAAAGCAATAACTTATACGGCATCTGGTTTATTTTTGTTCGAATTTAGGCAATACTGTGTGTATTAGTTTAGCTAGGTATATCTGCTAAATGTTTATCACTATTGAATGGGAATTACTATAGTGCTTTGCTAGCTTCATCTGATTACTTCCCAAGGCCAATGCAGAACAAGCTGAAAATAATAAAGATGGTCATGTCACTTGTTTTTCTCTTCATTTTTAAGGCAGGAAAACCTCAGATAAATGTTAAAATAAGGAAAGACCGCTGAAAAAGAATGCATGAGGGAAGTACAAAAATATAGGTTGCTGCAGAATTTGTTGCTTTAAACCCCATGTTTAAATCGGCTGTTAATTTACCATGCAGTTGTGTACCCCTGGCACTGCATGGGATAAATGCTCATTTTGCTGGGGAAATATTTACCATATTCTTTGCTCCCCCAGCATCTGAGGTTCTCCTCAGCTGTCTGATGCTATTGCTTTAAGTCAGTATAAATTCTGTTGACGAAAATATTTCTATCATAGTTTTAATCAGCTGCATGTTTTCAGGAACAAAAAATAAAAAAAAAAATTAGAATTAAGTTATTTGATGACAAAAAAATCAATTACAATTTTCAGTTAGTCGACTAAAATCTCTAGTACATTTTAGTTCTCTAAAATCTAATGGTTTAGTTAAATTGCAATGCATTATTATTTAAGCCTTTTCCAAACTGATTAGATTTTTACTTCAGGAGTATATAATAACATTATTATTTATGGTATCAAGGTTTGAACATACACTACAGACACAGATTTAGCCGTTGTGTTATATAACATCTTTATACATAAAACCAAAGTTCATAAACAAAGTAATGCTTTTTAACAAACAGAAGTGCAACTTTAAAATATAAACAAACAAAAACTGTAAACTCCATTGGCTGTACTGCCAAGCAGGAAGTGGAGATGGGGAGTGCACAGGGCAGGGTGCATTATACTTTGGGGATTGGGAGATGACCTGCAAATGGGGATGGGAAAGTAAATGGGAGAGAGGGAGTGCACAGGGCAATGAACTGAAAGGTATGGGGAGGCTGTTATTTTACTCAGTGTAATGCACTGCTAAACACTCACAATGTCTCATCCAGACAGACACAAATGCAATGGAGGAGTTCCTCTTCTATGGTTTGCAGGGCATTGTTCCAGAACTCCCAGACAGCAGGCAGACAGAGGGAGCCTGTGTCTCTCAGCCAATACAGCTTGCTGATAGAGTACTGAAGATTTTAGTCGTCTAAAATGTACTGGAGATTTTAGTTGACTAAAATACAACTAAAACTAAAACAATTCGGATGCCTAAAATATGACTAGAAATAATATGGCTTTTTAGTCAAAAGACTATGACTAACACTAAATCAAAATTTGGCATCAAAATTAACAGTGCTTCCAGTGCAGGACTGCTCTGTACATGATGACATCAGGGAACTGCGACCAGTTTGACAGCAAAGTAAAGCGGCTTCAGGGGACTAGTCAACTGGAGAAAAGTGGGCTTCTTTTCCTCTATAGTCAAATGAGCATTTAACCCATGCAGTTTAGTGGTGGACCACACCGCATGTGTAAATGTTAAAGCAGCCAAGAGTTGGCCTTTAACCACATCCTTACCATGCTATAGCCGAATGACGGCTACAGCGTGGTTGTCCAGTCCTGGGAGGGCATCATATGATGTCCTCCTAGAACACGCCCTCCCTCGCACACCCAGCAGCATGCACCCTGTGATCTCCGTGATTGCTGTGTCCATAGGATCCAGCTGATCCCATGAAGTAAAAGGCCAATCATAGCGGTCTTTTACCACATGATCAGCTGTGTACAATGACGCCAGCAGATCACTGAGTAAATACAGTTGCCGGTCATTGGCAGCACTTTACGCTGTCAAGCGTGAGGAAAGTGCTGCCCATAACCGGCAGCTGTCACAGAGGAGATCGACACTGATCATCAGGGCGCTGATGATCTGTGCCCTAATGATCAGTGCCCTGCAGTGCCGCCCATCAGTGCCACCCACTAGTGCTCAGCATTGCTACCCACCAGTGCTCAGCAGTGCTACCCATCAGTGCCCCCCATCAGTGATGCCCATCAGTGCCCAGAAGTGCCACCCATTAGTGCTGTCAGTCAGTGCCATCAGACAGCGTCGCCCATCAGTGCCGCCTATCAGTGGCCATCATTGCTGTATATCAGTGCAGCGTCATTACTGCTCCTCCTCATTAATGCCCACCAGTGCCACCTCATCAGTGCAGCCTATCAGTGCCCATCAGTGCAGCATATACGTGCCACCTCATCAGTGCCCATCAGTGCTGATCAGTGCTGTCTATCAGTGCAGCCTCATCAATGCACAACAGTGAAGGAGAAAAATTACCTGTTTGCAAAATTTTATAATAGAAACAAAGAAAAACGTTTTTTTTTCAAACTTTTTGCTCTTTTTTTGTTTATAGTGTAAAAATTAAAACACCCGGTGGCAATTAAATACCACCAAAGGAACCCTATATTTGTGTGAAAAAAAATATACAAATTTCATATGGGTATATACAGTGTTGCATGTCTGCACAATTGTCATTAAAAGTGCGACAGTACTGAAAGATGAAAATTGGCCTGGGCACGAAGGGGGTAAAAGTGCCCGGTAGGCAAGTGGCTA